TGTTTTACTGACAGTGATGCATTATGCTGGACTCCATCAGCCCAGCAACCTTTGGGACCAGCACTGGGAGTCAGGCAGCCAGACAGCTCAACTTGTCTCCATCAATCAGGAAGTGAGACTTTATGGGCCAGAATGAGGGCTACAGGTGTACACCACTGTCACAGCTTTAAATAAACACGATCAGTTTGCCTAGTGCTAAGCAACTGTTTCTGAGAGCGTGTTGGTAAATGTGTTTATAAAGCATAAGAGTCCAATCCATCAGCCCTCAAAGAGCCTAATCAATATATTCCAATTTGATCTTAGAGAAGTTTCGCCTCTGGGAAGTTTAATTTATTTCAACTCATGGCCATGAAAAAATGAGCAGCCACGGCACTTTGACAAAACAGGAGAAGCGGATGAGGTTGTATCCAGCACCCGTTCCATTTCAATTTTCCATTTTACCTGAACAAATCACCCCTACGACTCGAATGACCATGAAAACCGATCGAGCGACGGGGAGAGACTGAGGGCCAAAGCGAGGGAAGGAATAAAATCCGGATGGGAGATGTAAATTGCAGGACTTCTGAGGTGCTCGGCTCTCTTAGTTTGCTCTGTACAGAGTAGAACAGGAATGGAACCCCTAGAACTTCACGTGTGAGGTAAATTCATTGGTTCCCAACTGCACAGGGCTGCAAAACTGGGGTCTGACTAGACCAGGCAGCCTCTTCCCTGCATTTATACGAGACTATTCTTACATGTCCTTGTAACTTTTTCATTGATAGCCCTACTGCCCACTTCTTGTGATCCCAAATTCAGGAACTCTAAACCCTCCCTTAAAGCATTGGTACAGTGGCTAAACAAAAGCCCACCTGGAGTTCTCCTGAGAAACACCCAAGTGTTACAGCAAATCAGAGCCAGCAGTGAGTAGCTGAGCAGCACCTCTCCAGGAAACACCTGCCTGGTCACTATATCTCTGAACCCTGGGCTTACACCTTCCTGTCTGAGGAAATGTTTGGACAGGACCTGGTTTTCATGCTCTTTATTCCAACTGTCCTTTCAGCAGAAGGAGGTGAAGCCTCGTTGACTCTATTCAGGGGTATTTCAGGTAATCCAGTTTTTATTGATAGTGGCTCACCTCTGTTCTGGAGGTTAAGATCACACTGCTCTGGTTGGATCAATGTACAAGATACTTCAAAGTGTATTTAGCAAAAATACCATGTAAAACAAATGAGACAGTTGTTTCACTAACCCTCTGAGGAGTTAAGCCAAGATGTTTGACATCTTGCTATTTAATAGTTTTGGGGGGGGGGGTCAACCCTATTAATTTCCAACAAGGATTTTGTTCAGAATGGGTCATGAGATGGTGTTTTATATAGGGATATCCTTGGTTTTCATTCAAGATGGAGGTTGGAGGAGAACAACGGGTGTTGCCCCTTTATCAGAGACTCTCACTGTTCTTCCTGGGAACCAACACTGTGTAAGCAGCAATTTTTTTCTGGCCTTGCCCCATGTTACTAGAAAGTCTTTTGGGGAGGAGATTCTGTTTAATGCTAATTTGTTAAGAACTGCATGTAGTGTCCTCAGAAAATGCAAATCAGTTGTTTATACTGATGCCAGAAAATGTAAAATCAGAAATGAGTGTGTTGATTTTCTTTCCTCCAACTTCATTTCATCCTAATGTCTCTGCTTTGATGCTTCCTCCCCAATCTTATTTGATATAGCATCAGACCATCTTTTTTATGTCAAACATTTGCTTCAAAGCTTCTCATAGCCTGTGCTAGTTGTCAAAAGTTGGAGGCAACACGTTTTAAGCATTCAGCAAGCATCCTCCTGAAAAGAAAACCACTATTTCTAATGAGCATTTGAGAGTGCGGTGCATTGCAGAAACTGTTTTCTAAGATCTGTCACAAATGATTTACTTTTATTAGTTTTAATGGCCCTTAGCTACAGGCATGGAATATAAGTGAAAATTAAGATATTTTTCACAAGATAAAAATAGATTTCAATCAGAGAGGGTGGGTATTTCCCTCCCCTCACTGATCCCCTCTTTAGTTCTGTTTCTGACTAGACAACCCTGCTCCAAGGAAGTGGCTTCACAATGTTTTGGCAGACACATATTCCTCTCCAAGCATGAGATCTGCTGATTTCAGAGGCCTTTTTCCTAGTAATTCCTGACACTTTCCATCAACAGCACTTGCATCATTCCCACTGAAGCAACTTCATAGGTTTTACTTGGATTTAGCCTTGGGTAAGGTCACAACAAGGTGTTTCTATTCAGAACCACAGGTTTCTATTCAGAACTACAGGTTTGCCGGACTAAAGAACTCATTCTAAGACAAAATTTATTAATTCTCATTCATAATTTCACTGTCTCTTTCCATTATCTGTCTTAGATAAAACTATGCTCTTCCTGTCAGCGTTTTGGCCATCTTGTTCTTTCCAGATTTTGTTATTCTTAGGAGGTTTTTTAGAAAGTGCTTTTAAAATGATTTTTAGCACCTCACTGTGGTTTGTATCCAGTGGAGAAGGAGGGTTACAGCTCAGCCCAGGCACTTACTTCGTGAGGGCAGTGCCCAGAGACTCCCTGCATGAGCGAGGCTCTGCCAGGCTGGTTGCAAACGTGAGTGGAGCTCCAAAGAGAAAATGGTTCTGCAAAAAGGATCTCTCCCTTCCATGCCAAACCCCTTGCTTTGTTTCCAGTCCCCATACTGTGTTATTCTTATTCAGCAATAGGGTTTTTTTTGTCATCTGCAACCCCTGAGAGCAAAGTAGGAGTCTGTGTTTCCTACTACACCTGCTCTGTATCAAAGGCTTGCAGACTTACCATGGCTGTCAGTGCGTGGAGCTTGTTCTTTGGCTTCAGTAACAGAGAAACTCTCTGCACTAGTTGTAAAAGTCCCAGATCCAAACCTTCCTAAAAACCCAAGTATCTTCAGTTTCCACTTTCTGATCTGTAGCTGTTTTAGAGCTCCAGCTTGAATGTATAAGCACTGGTAGTAAAGTGCTCTGATAACTAAGGAAAGACACCAAAGACACCTGATGCTGTGAGCTCTTCCTTCCTAGTCTTTGGATGTAGTTTCCAAGCTAAAACTACCATTGTTTTTCCCCTTAGGTCCAGTGCAGCATTCTCCATCTGGAATGTGCTCATTGAACTGGGGCTCTCCTGCCTCATTCATAATCTCAGTAATTAAGCTTTTACAGCTAGAACATAATTGATAACTTTATTGCTGATTAAAAAGACAGGCTATCTCCAGCTCCTTGCCCACAGCTTCATTGGCTGTGTGGTATTAGAACAACCGCTTGTTTTCCCTGGGGAAATGAGCTTTTGGGATCTGAAGATGTGGAAGCAGCCAGATTTGGCTCTTGGTTATCCCAAAGAACACAGAGACTAATTTAACCAAGTCAGAGCAATTACTCTGGATTTACATCAACAGGGTTGGGAACATGGTTTGGTCAAGAGAGCAGAGCAGTGGAATAATACTGAGCTAATTTTACAGAATTTCTTCTCTGAGTGTAGCCACAATTTAATGGTCATCTATAATTAGTTAATTCATTTGCTACTATAATAAATGCTTTGCAGCCCTTATAAATGTCCATTAAATGTGTCAAATCCCTTCCTCCTTTCCTCCACACACATGCAATTTCCTTGGCACGTGAGAAAGCACAGCTAAACCCAAAGGTGAAAAGAAGGATGCAGTACGAAGAGGGCATGTCTTCCCCTGTCACTCAAATTCTCATGCCTGAATGAGTAACAAGTGCTCTGTAACGATGTTTTAAATGCAACAGATTCCACCCTGGAAAAAAATGATCATAGACTAGACTAGACTAGACTAGACTAGACTAGACTAGACTAGAATAGAATAGAATAGAATAGAATAGAATAGAATAGAATAGAATATCCTGAATTGGAAGGGACCTCCAAGGATCATACAGTCCAACTCCTGGCCCTGCACAGACACCCCAACAATACTACGCTGAGCTCTGGCAGGCTTGGGGCTGTGCCCACTGCCCTGGGGAGCCTGTTCAGTGCCCATCCACCCTCTGGGGGAAGAACCTTTTCCCAATATCCAGACTAATTCTGCCCTGGTACAGCTCCAGCTGTTCCCTCAGGTCTTGTCCCTGGTCACACAGAGCAGAGATGGAGCTGCTCCTCGTGAGGAAGCTGCAGACCCCAGTGAGGTCTCCTCCCAGTCTCCTGCAGGCTGAACAAGCCAAGGCACCTCAACCACTCCTCATATGGCCCCTCCAGGCCCTGCACCACCTTTGTGCCCCTCCTTTGGATGCTCTCTAATAGCTTTAAATCTTCATTATATTGTGGTGCCCAGAACTGCCCCCAGCACTCGAGGTGAGGCCACACTTGGCAGCAGAGCAGGACAATCACCTCCTTCAACTGGTTGTCAAAGCTGTCCTTTCTTCTTGCCTTTTTAGCCCTATCACTGATGCAGTGCTGGGCACACACCTTCCATGAGGAGTGTGCCACCATCTGAGCGTGGCAGGAGCAGAGCCCACTGCCCCAGTAAGACCAAATCCTCACCAGTGTGGAAGCACCTGAAATGTGCTGGTTCACATGGTGGTCTGCTCTGAAATCCATGGTCTGGCAGAGACCAGCAACCTAAAGGACAGACTCTTAATCTGTCACTTGCCTAAATCTCCAAAATCCTGCCTCAATCCCAACAGCACACTCGGAGCAGGCAGCATTCCTTGCCTTGCTGGCTCTCTCTCTATTTAAATACAAGGAACAGGCGGATCAGTGGCCAACAGGCAGAATCTCAAGCAGTGGGTTGGGGAGTGTAACTTCATCTGGGATTGAAACCCTGTATTTAAATGTTAAGCAGACATCGCTGCTTGTCCACTGAGATTCCATTCAGGTAAAGGAGGAGGGTCACTTCCCCAGCTCCAGCTTTCAGCATCTAGTTCTTTCTCTCTTCTCTCCTTTTTCTTCCCTCAAAGGAAGTCAACAGAGAGATGGCAGGAGAGTAATACAACAAACTACAACACATTGTGTAATTGAAATGGACCATAATCACTAATATTAAAGACAGTGAATCATTCTAATCGAGCCATGCTCAGCAAACAATGAAAAACTGTATGCCAGAAAAGCTAATGCTGGTTTTAAAATGAACAGAAATGAGGCGAAATGGAACCTCACTCTTTATTCATGAAGGTCAATTTAACGTGATTATTTTTTCCCTGGCATCACAGCTTTGTGATTACTGTTGTATACCTCAGTGCTATTTTCTAACCTAATAACAGTAAAAAATAACCAGCTGGTGATGATTCTGTTTAAAGCAGAGACTAAATGCTCACAAAAACCCACCACTGAACAGTTGCACATGCTAATCAGACACAGCTCAGCCAGATTCCCAATGGAATCCATATTTTGCACATTTCAACTGGTTGACTACATTGAGAAATTAGATTACGCCTCGGACATCCAAGGCTCAGAGTGATCCACATTTCTTCATTCCTCCTGGGTGAAATCAAACCCTCCATAGATCCAGACGGGCGTTTTTAATTCATCCCACTCCATATCTTCCCATAATATTTACCATCGTGCAGTGCAATCACTTTGAGGACTTGCTGTTCCAGTGGCAGTGACAGGGGCTGATTGTCCCTGGGTGTATCCTCGCTTTGGAGGAGAGAAACGGCTTCGGTTTGGGTGCAATTACTGCTGGTGTTGGGCAGGGACAGCACGGGAAGGATGTGTGTTCCCCGCCCCCCGGGCATTTGTGACACTCTGCTGATGGCACTTGGAGGAAAGCTGACACCATTAATGATTGATAATTACCAGACTTGCCAATGAACGCTGTGAATTTCGGGGGGGCGGGGGGGGAGGGGGCAGAAGGAGGGAGAAAAAGAGACAAAAAGTTAATTAAAAAAAATGCCCAAACATTTCCCTGCTCAGAGGAAAGTGTTGTTTATACTGGAACGAAGTAATGTCTTTTGTTTTGTTTATTTCTCAGCTGTCTGTAGAGCTCAGCAGCAACGTTACTGGCATTTTTGCTTTACAAATACATATCTTTTTAATGCATAAATAAATGTATTTTTTTTGCACTTACCTCGGGTTTTTTTTAAATTTTGTTAAAATCCCAGAGAGACAAATTAGTAAAGAGGCAGAGCTTTGCCAGGAAGCCTTCATCAGCTCAGCACTAATAACTTCTTTCAGCAGCCATGGATAGCTTCTGACATCACAGCTCAAGCTTGTCCGAAAGCTAATTATTTTCCCTGTTATAAAACAAAGGTTCTGTATCAAAGGCCCATAATGTGACACAGCACACGCTCCAGATGCACTGATTTGCAAAATAAATCAACTATGTCAGGGTGGAATTTGGAGGAGAAATTACAACAAATTGCAATTATACTTGCAGTGGTACACTATTTAAATGCATTGTCAATTTGTTAAATGCAAGGCACCATGTGTGTCTTTTTCCAAGTTTTTTTATGGGGGAAGAGAGGAGAAAAAATTCTTTTCTGTCAAAAGGAAAAAAATCTTCTTCTCTTCCCCTTTCCCCTTGTACAATTTCTTCCAGCCTACAGATGCTGGCAGAGCAGGCTTTATAAAACGTTGAAATGGTGTCATAGGAAGGCAGACGTAAACAGGAGGTAAAATGGTTGGAGCCCATCCCAGACAGAACAAATGAAGGGATGTGTTTAATAACAGAAAGTATTCAGACCTTTCTGATCCCCTTACCTTGTTTAGGCTGCTGTGAAACCGTATCTCCAGGTAACACAGTAGTGTGAGACTTGTGATTTGTTTTCCTCCTCCACGTGGAGATAATTTTCTTCCCTTTCCCCTTCTTCTCTTCCTAATATTCTCCTCCCTGAACAGTGCCAAAATCATGATGATCAGGCCACATGTCAGGATGGTCAATAAGACACAAGCACAGGATTCACCAGGATCCTGCCCACACCAGCATGTTGGGTGGTTGGATAAGAAAGGGACAGTGGGAAGATGGCAGGAAAGGGAAAGTAGATGGAAAGAGGTCTTGTCTGCATTGGCTGGTGACTCTGAAAGTTTTCCAAAGCACTCTCAAAGCACAGCCAGCACAGCCAGTCCTTGGAGCACTTCCAGGCTGAATTCCCTCCCTGCCCTCACAATGTCTGCCTCCTCCTCTGACTTTCTCACTGTACTTTCTGTTGTCTTATGTTTTTCCCCTTCCTATCCACTCCATAATTTATTTATTAATTTTCTTCTCCTTTTATCATAGAATCATCATAGAATCACAGGATAGTTTGGGTTGGAAGGGACCATAAAGCCCAACTCTCTCCAGTCCCCTGCCGTGGGCAGGGACACCTTCCACCAGCCCAGGTGGCTCCAACCCAACCTGGCCTTGGACATTTCCAGGGATGGGGCAAACGCAGCATCTCTGGGCAACCTGTGCAGGGCCTCCCCACCCTCACAGGGAAGAATTTCTTCCTAAATTATTTGGTTGTGTCTGTGTATTTTCAGCCTCTAATTTGTGCCACATTTCCTGTTCGAACTTCCCCTGTCCCATCTCCTTCCCCCCACGTTAATGTCATCTGTTTGCTCTTTGCAAACACTTTTGCTTTCATTTCCAGTGCTTGTTTCCCTTCGATTTGTATCTCTCTGAGTGTATATACACACATACAGATATATACATATATATACATTCATAAATCTTGCAGCTGAAGCTTTTTGTGTTTCAAAACTAGCCTGTCCCTGGAGTCAGTTTGTTATTCCGGTCTCATTCACTTTATTGAGTTATTTTCTTTGCTGCTATCAGTCTCTAAATACAATCCAGTAAAGATACAGCAATGATTTTTGACAACTTGACCTTTCTTTGCTTTCTTACACTTGTTTAATTAGGTACCACATGCAGCTGTGGCTTGATCTTTACAGTTTTCCAACCTCTCCCACTCCCTACCTGGAAGGGGGGAGGAATAAAAAAGGAGAGAGATGTTGTTGAAAGAAGGTCATTTTTGACAGCTCTGCCAGTTATTTCAGGTGTTGGAAAGCTGGTGAGTTCTGCAGGAATGGCAGCCCACGCTGTCTGTATTTTGCTTAACAAGTTAGAGAAAACCTTTGGCTGGGGGAGGTAGGGAATTAGGTGATTTATTGGTTTGATGAGGGCGTGCAGTGATTTAACCTTCAGATGTCCAGTTTAAACACAAATCTGACAAACAAGAGAGGAAGCTGGGTAGAGCTTCTGCCAGGCTTTGCTTTGGAAAGCTGGGCTCTCTGGACTGGCCAGGCTGGGGGAGGGTGTAGACAGACAGAAGAGTTCCCCCCACAGATCCTTAAGTACAGAAATTACTGATGCCACCTGCAAGGGGAGATGGCAGGCAATCATTGCTAGCAGGACACAGAGTTTTGTGTCCCAGGTAAAAAAAGTTCTGGTAGTGTATGAGTTCCTTCATAAAATCAGAGATGCTTTTTCGGTTTCTGGTGGATCCCAGAATCACGGAACCCTTTAGGTTGGAAAAGTTCTTTAAGATCATCGAGTCCAACTGTTAACCCAGCACTGCCAGGCCCATCACTAAACCATGTCCATAAGCACCTCATCAGCACATTTAAATCCCTCCAGGGATAGGCTTTCCCTCCAGGATTCAGGCTCTCAGCGGGCACACATCCACCTCACAAACTCCTCGCTCACTGTAATGTGAGTCCACACCCTGGCCAGCAGGTCTCAGCCATGAGAATCAAAAGCCAAAATGAATTATCTGCCCCAAAACAGGTATCCTCATGTGTGTTTTGGCCCAATGGGCAGGCAGGGAGAGCTTGTTGATGTTTTCTCACATGAACTGTGATTACACATCCTGAAAATCCCTCCTTATCTGGCAGAAAAGTTGAAGCTTGTGCCCAGGGGCAATGTTATGTTTGCACTTTGGTGTCATATTTTCTTGCAAATTTATTTATATCTTTATTTATCAGACTGATCCTGGTTCACCAGTGGTGGCTGGCACATTTTCCCATCAGGATACACGTGCTCACTCCAACAATCTGCTACAGCACCATTCAAAGCCCATGGAAGACAACTGGAGTCCTTCAGCTTTCCTGTGTCCTCCAGAACAGATCCTTCTGTCCTGACACAGGCAGATCCCCCACTGATTTCCAGGTGCCTGCATTACTTGTATTTTGGTATGGATATTATTTAAGCAAAAGGACATGACAAACTGCCTGGTAACGCTGATTAATAGGTGCCCCTGGGGAATAGTGAGGCATGAGATGAAGTTAAATAACTCCAGTGTGCATTACTCAACACTGCCACACCACCTGAAGTGTCTCATTGTGCCTAAAAAATGGATTCCCTTTTAAAAAGGAACATTTTTAATGTTTCACATTAATTTTCTCCAAAGTCCTTACGCCGTGAAAAATATTCCTTATGGAAAGCCCTTTCCCCACCTCCACCATCAGTGCCTCCCACCAAGCCTTGCCCTGCAGGTGTCCAATGATTCCTTGACAAGGTGCAATAGCTCAGTGCATGTCCTGATAACCCACATGCCCACCTTGATTAATACTGCACACCCAGGTGGTGCTGCTTGGAAAACCAATGGATCCCCAATGGGATGCAAATCTGACTTCAGTATTTTCTCACTGGGCAGATCACCATAAAAATGGTCCCGAGTCCTGCCCCAAAACACCACAGGTATAACAATCATAGGATCATTAAGGTTGGAAAAGATCACTGAGTCCAACCATCCCCCCAGCACTGCCACGTTCACCACTTGTCCCCAAGTGCCACATTCACAGGGCTTTTAAATCCCACCAGGGCTGGGGACTCCATCACTGCCCTGGGCAGCCTGTTCCAATGCCTGACCACCATTCCCACAAAGAAATGTTTCCTAATATCCAATCTAAACCTCCCCTGGTGCAACTGGAGGCCTTTTCCTCTTGTCCCTGTTGCTTTTACTGTTTCTCCCAGATCCAGCAGAGAATTCAAGTCTAACTGCTAAAAAAAAAATCTTCCTGGTGCTTAGCTAAACAAATCATGTACTTATTGTAGGCCAGAGTTATTTTCCTTTTGATTTTACTTTTTATTAAAATTTATGGTTACTAAAGATCAGAGATATAATGCAAGGATATAAACCAGCAGTCTCTGATTGTATTCACAACAGATACTACTATCACAGTTCATTCTTCCAACAAAAGGATCCATGCACAGATAAGAACCACTTGGTCATTTATCACACTCTGGAACGCAGCAGCCACATAGACAAATAGAGAAAACAGCATTTTCAGGAAGAAAAAATACTTGTTTTAAATTTATTCACCTAAAATATTAGTGTGTGTTATATAATAAAGAATGATAATGTATCTACTTAAAAAAATTAAGGTGTTGAGTTGAAGGGACACTGTGAGTATTCTCTCACTGTAGGAGGAAGCACTTTTTGATACCTAAGTCTAAATTTAGGGAAGGGTGAGATTTGTTTCCTTGAGTCTCAGAAATATCCATGTGCCAAATCAGCTCATGGTCTTTTAGACCACAGGAAATCAGCACTTATTCCACCAAAACCTTGGTGGTTTAGCTTGCTGCTAGAAAAGAATGGGGGGCCATTTGTTTTCAGTGACTCGCTTTTAACCTCTGTCAGTTTATTAAGCAAAAAAATGAGTATTTAAAGAACTGTCGTTCATCTGCTGTGTCTCCCCAGTGCAGGTGTGAATTCTGCACCGACAAAGTGAGCCTTCAAAGGGGGAATTGCCCTTCTCAGGCGATGCCCCTGGGCAGGCTGCAAACTGCTGTGAGTAACCAAGTCCCCAACCTCATCCTGGAGCCCATTTTTTGCATGAGGAATTTCAAGGCACAGCAAATTTTGACAGTCCCGTGATGAGAAACCGGAATTTCCACTGCAAATTCTGGTGCAGGTGTGAGGGTGCTGTCACACAGGTGGTTCATGTGGGAGCTGTCACTTGTCCCAGGCACTGAGAGCAGAGGTGGCTTTTACAGTGACTTCCCAGCAGCCCTTGATGTCCTCAGGTTAGAGCATGTGACAGTTCCCTAAAGCCCAGAGGCCCAAGTAGGACAGTGCACCCTTGGGGTCATGGAAAACTTTTGATTTACAGAGTCCTCACAATCCTCTATTTTATTCTGAGGCAAGAAGACTTTAGAAAATACTGTGTTTAGGGTCTAATCATCTACTCCACTTGCTCAGCCTAAATTCAGCTTTGCTGCGGAGTTGAAACTTTGCCAGTCAGTGAAAGGACCCACCTGCAGCACTGAGGATGCTCCACTGGGATCTGACTGTTGTTCATCTTAGAGAGAGGACAAAATAACCTTTGAGTCTTGCTTTGCATTTGCAAGCACTGTGGACCCACAGCTCAGCACAGCCTTGTTAAAATCTCATGTAGGAATACGAACTGGAAGGGGCCTATTTTCTGTGCCCATCAAGAAACACTCCAGACCTCAAAAATTCTGGGAGCTGGGCTGCTCATCTTTAAACATTGCCAACTGCAGATTTTAAATTAATCATTTATCAAAGCACAGAGACAGACATTTCTCATGGTTGGCCTGAGGAGTGGTCCTCAAATATGTGGAGGTGCAGGTATAAGTCCTCTGTACCTCCTCCTCCAAATTCAGGCTCAGACAAACCCTCCAAGCCTGAACACAATCTTTCCAAAGTTTTGAGATGTAGATGAGGCATGTGCAGGGTCTGTGAAGGACTGGTTTAGCAACAGAGCAGTAAAAAGTGCTCTCTTGTCTGTTGAATGCTCCAAGCAGGTCTTCAAGGTCTGCAGACACTGAAACCACATATCTGAGAATGATTGAGTTACTCGAGTAATTATTAAATTGGATACCACTCAAATCTGTTCTGCTCTTTATTATACACAATGATTCACCATTTATAGAGCCATAAATTCATTTGAAGGAGGTATAGCAAGCTGGGGACGTGCTGCAGAGGTTTGGGAATGAAGCTGAAGCCTCCGGACTGGCCCCTGTCCAAGGGGCTGGGACAT